AAATCCCTGTGAAGCTATGAACCCAAGACGTTCTGTTAGTTTTTTGGTAACAGTGATGTACAAGTAGCTAATATATCACCATAATCACTTTCTCCTCCACTCTAGCAATAGCTTTATTACTGACTCAGATAATTTCTTTTCATAATCTGCCTCAGAATAATTAGTACCTTAGCTAAAATGTTTGACAATACTTCATGAGGTCATCTACAGCTCTACCAAATATATCTAAAATTATTTGAATCCCCAAGTACCCATAGTTAATGTTTAGGGTAGGTAATTGTCTCACTCTTCCCCACCCTCTTCCACTGCCTACCAGAGTCCTGTGTGTATCAAATACCCCATGAATGTCTTTTAACAATTAATAAAAAAATTACACCATTGGAGTAGAACTAATGCTTATGTGAGGGAAGGACACAACTCAAAAACTGCACAGGAACCTTGCAATTTAAGCAAATTAGGGGGCAAAACCAGAATGTGAGCTGAGTCTACCCACATTTATGTTCTAGAACTCTCTGAAAGGATCTGGGTCACAAGTAAGTGAACTGTTCAAGACCACATGACAGCACCCCTCTGAAATGAAGCAAGAGGAAGCTGATTCACTCTCCTTGTGGTTTGATGTACAGAATTGCCTCATTTTCCCAGCAATGGTATTTGTTGTTGTTGTTTTACCCCAACTTGCTCATGTAGTAGAAATCTTTTCAGTTGGTTTGACTGTTCCAATTTTAAAGCTACAAGTGTTGTGTTTATGATGGTTGCTGCTGCTATTTATATTGTGCTGTTCTTCGATAAAACTACAGTTTATTGGGGAATATAGTATTAATGGATAAAAATCACCCACTTCTTACTAAATTATGACTTCAAACAGTGGTAATATTTTAATCTGTTGTTATTAAGTAAGCTTCATTTAGAAATTATTTTAAGACAAACACAGACATGTAAAAAATGCATGATCATACTTACATATAGAGTCTAAAAACACTTAACTGGAAGTACAAGGGCTGGCCGGGGGAAGAAGATGGGAAGCTGTTGACCAACAGGCAGAATTTCAGACAGGATCAGATGTTGCAAAGAATTGTGACTATGGTCAGCAATACTCTATTTCAAAATAAGTAAGAGTAAATTTCAAATGGCTCACTGTAAGAAATATAGGGAAGTGAGTTATAATTTTATTAACTGATTTAATCATTCTATATTGTGTATGTCCATGAAGAGTCATTATACTCCATAAATGTATATAGGTATGAAATGTCAATAAAATAATGGAAAATAAATCAGTTGTTGAATATTTGCAAGTTTAATGAAATTATAAACCATGTTGGTACTTTTAAAAATTGTACCTAATACATAACCTTAAACTTTCATCCCACTCTTACTGCCTGTAATCACGAGGTGGTACAAACACCCTTGGATAAATGCCATAGTTCTTGGATTCCATTACTGCTCTTTCACTACACACGGTCTTTTAGACTTCCTGGTAATCCAGAGAAAACACGTGACATGCCTAACATGGTACCTGACACCTCCTACAGGCAGCATTTAGCAGTTATTAAAACAGAAGATCATACTAGATAGATCACTGCCTTTGTGACTTACAAACTAGCCACAGTGGCCTCCTATTTGTCAGAAGATCTGTAAAGGATTTAAACATCAAGTTAAACCATTTAAGATGCTATATTCCAAAACCTCTGATCACGTGCTAAATATGGATTGGAAACAGTGATTCTCCCATGCACACTGAGAACAGAGGTGGACATTATTGGTGCCCTGATCTATCTCCACTTTATCCACTTGAGATGGGGTCTTTCAACCAGGGGCTAGGTGGGTAGCGAGTAAGCCCCAGAAATGCCCCTATATCTGCCCTCCAAAGCACCGAGGTGACAGGCACTCTGGAATTTTTTCTGTGAATGCTAGTGGTTTGAGTTCAGGTCTCCATGCTTATGCTGTAAGTGTTCTTACTGGACGATAAACCCACAATTCTTTGTAACAGAACTCAACAGAACAATTTACTTGAGATTTTAGCAAGGACTCCATTCTGACAAATACCATAGCCATCTGCAGCCACTATGAGAAATAATTAATGAAGAGGATACGTTAAATAAATCGGGAGTTGACAGGCTATTTTGATGGTTGTCTTCTCAGTGGAGTTCCTCCTGTATGTCAATATAACTCTACCTTAATGGAACCGCTAACAGCTGTGCAATTACATTTGTAGTTAGTGTGACTCAATTAGCTGCAACAATATCTGAAGGAAGTTCACTGCTGCTTACCAGAGTCTCACGACAGAAAAGGTATCATTTATGAAAGTCCAGTATATCATACTGTACATATACTACATAACATATTCAAGATGTTTGAATTTATACCTTTCTAATGTTTAATCAAACTAATGTAAACTGTAACCAGACCTTACTTTCTTTTTTATTATTAATTAAATGTGTGTGGGTGTGGGTGTATGTGTATGATGTATATGCTCTGTGTGTAGATGTGGGCAATTGTACATGCAGAGGACAGGCAAGGACATCAGATAGACTGATGTATCATTCTCCACCACATTCCCCTGATACTGGATCTCTCACCTTAAGTTAGGCTGGCAGCCAGCAAACCCCATCAATTCTCCTGTTTCTAGCTGACACAGCAAGGGGTCATAGGTAAAAATGGCTGCCTGATCTTTACTGGTGCTGAGATTTTGAGTTGAGATCCTTAGACCTGGGCAGCCAAGTATTCTCACCCACTGAGCCATATCTCCAACCCCAACACTCTACTTTTAAAAACAAAAATAATATGTATGAAAATTATCATAAAGAAATGTTAAAGGCTAATTTTAAAAGTTAAAACCATTTCAAAACTTAATAAAGAATGTAAAAGAAAAACAATGTTTAAATCCAACTGCTGGATCTAGTATGTAAAATTGTGGAGGCCCACAGAGGCTTCCTAGTGAGACCTTACTCAAGGTCAGTAGGGCTGCATAATGGGATGATTTGGCCACGGGCATATTTACCAGGTGTTTTGAAGGGTCTACATTTGGCTGTATGTTGTGCTTTGATCTTGCAAGGGTCTTTTGCCTCTCCCCTAGGTAGTGATAAAAAGCCCTTTGGAATGAACCTCGAGGCAACTGGGTAGTGACCCAGGACCCTCCCAAAGCTATCCTGTGTTATTTCTTTCTTATCGTTTCCTTCTATCTTTTTTTCTAATACTTCCTCATTCCTCTCTCCTCCCCCCGCCAAGAACCCTTCAAAAGGTTGGAGCTGGACTCCCACAGACTCTCATATAAAATAAGTGACCACGTAAAGAAAAATGTTGGAGCCAGAGGGATGGCTCAGAGATCAGAGGCACTTGCTGCCTACCAACCTCAGTTTGACTCTTGGAACCCACAGCGTGGAAGGAAAGAGACAAATCTCAGAAGCTGTCCTTCACACATGCACTTTCACATGTATATGCCACCCCATACATAATTTTTTAAGTGAAAAAGAAAAATGTTGTTATAGTATACACAAAACTTGCTCAAGCTCAGGCAAGCCAAAGTCCTAGTATGGAGGAAGAAAAGTAGGCATGAAGTCCCACCTCTGGTCAAGAAGCAATTTGCAACTGATAGCTGCCAGGACAGGGAAAATCACTGTCCTTCAGTAGAGTGACATTGACTATGTCAAACACACTCTAGGCGGCCCCGTGCTTAGGAATAATGGTCAACATAAATTGGACTCCACAGTCTTGCTTTGTTTTCTTCTTTTTTTTCAGGAGAGAGAAAGAACATGAACTTGGGTAGTTAAGGAAGTAGGGGAGGGTCTGGGAGGAGTTAGGGGAAGGGAAAGAATATGATAAAAACCTATGAAATTCTCAAAGAATAAATCAAGACATTTTAAAAAGTTTATTTTAAATAGCAAATTATGACTTCAAAGCATATTCTTAAAAAGAGGTAAAATATGGGGTGGCAGAGGCACACACCTTTAATCCCAGCACTTGGGAGGCAGAGGCAGGTGGATCTCTGTGAGTTTGAGGCCAGCCTGGTCTACAGAGTGAGTTTCAGGACAGCCAGGGCTACACAGAGAAACCCTGTCTCAGGGGTAAAAAACGAAATGAAACAAAACAAAACAAAAACAAACAAACAAAAAAACGAGAGAGAGAGGGAGAGAGAGAGAGAGAGAGAGAGAGAGAGAGAGAGAGAGAGAGAGAAGTAAAATATTATAATGGAGATAATTTAATCTGTGAGTTCAAGTGTGTCAATGGTATTCTTGAGAGAAAGGTTAAAATATTAAAAACTGGAAAGCTACTTAGGAACTGAGGGTTGTAGCTTACTGTTAGTGCATGTGTGTAATGTGTGCCAGGGCCTCCATAATCTCTAGCACTGACAAGGAAAGGGAGAATATAAAGAACTCGAGAAGTAATCTTCAAGAGTCCCACCTAACTTCTTAGTTAGTCTACCACTGTTGTCAATACAATCTTATTTTCATCGAAGACCCACCATTGGACAGAAAGCAGCTCAGGTGTTCCCTTACATGTTTGTAGATATATGTATACTTTGATATCTCAGCTAATTAACCAAAAGTTAGGCAGAGTAACAAACCATCCAGCTCATTCACTTTTTCTTCTTTTTAAAGTATGTGCTGGGACTCAAACCCAGGGCATTGCACATGCCAGGAAACCATTCTACCACTGATCTGCAGCCCCAGTATCATTTTAATTATTTATTTTTTTAACCATTGCAGAACATTTAGAAGCAACACTTCCAAGCTGTAAGATTTCATAATCCAGCTTTTGAGAACAAGTTACATAACACTTTGCTAGACATATGTAGAAAGATCAGTTGTAAAGAACATTATGTTGTTTACACATGACACACAAATTTGAATTAGATATAACTAAACATTGTTAATTGCTACAAAATTTTTAATATCTAAAAGAATAACTAAGAGACATTAATTAAAAAACAAGAAATATTAATAGATAACACAAAATCTGTGCTAGTGGTTTCTTCTAGTTAAAAGGAGTACAGTCTGAAAGGATCACAGGAGACTTAAAAAGCTACCTTAACATTCTGGTTCTTAACTGAATCACACATGACAGCCCAGGCTGGCCACTAACTCATGGAAATCCTACTACCTCAGCCTCTCAAATGCTGGCATTACAGGTATGAGCTACTACCATATCTCTGTTTCTTAACTTGGAGGTTAGGTACACGCTCTCATTTTATTATCCATTTATGTAGCACAATAATGATGATGATGATGATGATAAAAGGTACTTGATCTTTGTGCTGGGTTCCTAGTGCAGAACCATTTAAATCCTTGGCATTTCCTGATATGAATCCTTTCATAATTCACTCTTTCAATCATCTCTGAATTTACACTAGAGAGGTGACACATGAGAGATGGACTGTAGAGGAATCTTAGGTAGCTCCAGGCTATAGACCAGTCCGTAGAATAATCAACTAAGTATATGGAGTTGGATTCTTCAACCCCTCCTTCTATCTCTAAGAGTAGGAGAGAGCGTTGGGACAATTGAACATAGGTACCTAGGAAAAGCTCGTGCAAAACCTTTCAAGCAATCACATTCAATGACTGTCCAGTTTGAAGACACAGATGTGCTGGGAGAGAAGCACACACAAAGAAGGCATGAAAGCTTTGTACCCAGGCCCCTATAGCTTGCCCTGTGTCTTTTCCATTTGGTGTCCCCAAAGTTGTATCCTTTACACTAAAACTGTTATTTTATGTATAGCATTTCCTCAATTTTTGTCATTATATTACATCATCAAACCTTTCAGGGGGAGAATAAGAGTAGCCCCCAAACTTAGAGTCAGGTAAACCCTCAAAAACAAAAACAAACAAAAAAGGCCAACAATAGCTCCCATTCTCTGCTGATGAATGTGTAGAAGGGACTATACTCCGTTAAGGAAAACTGTTCACTGATCTTTTAAAGGATTCTTTATGTCTGTATGTGTGGCTGTGTTTGATGATGTGCACCTGTGCAGGTGCTGTTGGCGGTCAGAAAAGGGTGTCAGATGCCTTGGAGCTGGAACTTCAGGTGATTATGAGCTGCTGGATGACTGTGAGCCATCCCATATAAGTACTAGGAACCCAATTCCAGTCCTCTGCAAGAGTAGAAAGTGCTCTCAACTGTTGAACCATCTCTCTAGTTGATTATTAGTATACAAAGAAACAAGTTTCATTTTGACATTTTCATGTCATTATTCTTTGTTCTCATTTGTACCTCTTCCCTGTGAAGGACAAGTGTCAAAATTGTCACATTTACAAATACATCTCTCCTTGGATCCAGC